TGAGTAGCCTTGCATTTCTTAACGATGTCCTGGGTGGATGAACTATGCAGGGGAAAACCATTAAACGCTAGTTTCCATTTCTTCCCAATGCTGAACAATGAGCGGATCTGCCTGGTTAGCTATTAAGAGCCGCTCACTAGTTAATTAGTTTGTCCTGAAAGCAAAGTCTTCCCTACGAGCCCTTTGTCTGCTCAGTCATATAATCTAGGGATTGTTTAGGACTTTCCAAGAACCGGCCCCACACCGAGATGCTGACAAAAGACACCATTTGCAACGCTGTCATTTCTTATTTAATTCGGGACCACAGCTTGGAAAAGCTATTTTGTTTCTAGACTATGACTCCCAGCATCTCTGAGAACAGCTGGTATGGGGATTCTGGGGTTTGCATTATAGAATCCTAGAATCCTAGAGTTGGAAGGGACCTCAAGGGCCACCTGGTCCAACCCCAATCTGCCATGCAGGAAAAGCACAATCAAAGCACCCCCGACAAATGCCCATCCTTACTCTGCAGAACAACAACAACAACAACAACAACAGAATTATAAAATCCTAGAGTTGAAAGAGACCCCATGGGCCACCTAGTCCAACCCCATTCTGACTTCATGCAGGAAAAGCACAATCAAAGCACTCCCAAGAGATGGCCACCCATTCTCTGTTTAAAAGCCTCCAAAGTAGGAGCCTCCACCACACTCTGGGCAGAGAGTTCCACTGCTGATCAGCTCTTCTTATTTATTTATTTATTTATTTATTTATTTATTTATTTATTTATTTCAGTTTCTTCTACCCCGCCCTTCTCACCCCGAAGGGGACTCAGGGCGGCTTACAAAGGCACAATTCGATGCCAGCATCACATAACAATAGTAAAACAAAATAACAGCAATTAAACAGTTACTCCTCATAGATGGTCAGCGTTCGCTATCTCATAGTCCAAATTCCAATTCCACATTGTCAGTCCTGTCTGTCCTAGTCGTTTGATTGTCCTTATCTAGTTGTCAGATTGCCCAAAGGCCTGGTCCCACAACCACGTCTTTACTTTCCTCCTGAAGGAGAGGAGGTATGTTGATGCCCTAATTTCTCCCGGGAGTGAGTTCCACAGGTGAGGGGCCACCACCGAAAAGGCTTGCTCCTCGTCCCCACCAACCTCACTTGTGACAGCGGTGGGGTCGAGAGCAGGGCCTCCCCAGATGATCTCAGACTCCAGGGTGGGATGTAGAGGGAGATACGTTCAGACAGATACACTGGACCGGAACTGTACAGGGTTTTGTAGGTCAATCAGGAAGTTATTCCTACAGTTCAGGTGGAATCTCCTTTCCTGTCATTTGAACCCATGGCGCCACTGAGTCCAAGTCTCTAGGGCAGCAGAAAGGAAGCCCTGCTCCCTCTACCTTAAGACACCCCTTCACATATTTAGACATTTTCATGTCTCCTCTCAGTCATCTCTTCTGCAGGCTAAACATGCCCAGCTCTTTAAGATGCTCCTCATTGGGATTATTCATGGTCTCCAGACTTTTGACCCTTTTAGTATCCCTCTGGATGCTTTCCAGCTTAGAGTCAACCTCTCTCTTGAACTGTGAGGCCCAGAATTGGATATAATGTGATTCCGATTGAAGAGGTCTGACCAAAACAGAATAGAGAGGTACCAGGACTTCCCTTGATCTGGACACCCGACTCATTTGGATGCTGCCCAACATCCCATTGGCTTATTCAGCTGCTCCATCACACTCTTGGCTCATGTTCAACATGTTCCCACGAAGACTCCAAGATCTTTCTCACATGTTCTGTTGTCAAGCCAGGCTCACCCATCCTGTATCTTTCCATTTCATTTTTCCTGCCTACACAAAGTATCCTACACTTCTCTTTGTTGAAATTCATTTTGTTATTTTTGGCTAATCAGCTCTCTAATCTGTTGAGATCATTTTGCATCCTGATCATGTCCTCTGGATTATTTACTCTCCCTCCCAATTTGCTTTCATATGCCCTCTACACCTACATCCAAGTCATTAATAAAGATGTTGAACAGAACTGGGCCCAGGACCGAAACCCCCTTTATGGCACACAATAGTCACTTCTTTCCAGGATGAAGAAGAGGAACCATTGGGGAGAAGAACCCTTTGGATTCTGTTGCTTCGCCAATTCCAGATCCACCTAATAGTAGCATTGCCTCGCCCACATTGGTCTAGTTGGGTTGCAAGAAAGTAATGAGGAACGTTGTCAAAGACCCTCCTGAAATCAAGATATGCTCCATCCACAGCATTCCCTGCATCTACCAAGCTTGTAACTGAGTGGTTCTCAACCTGGGCTCCCCAGATGTTTTTGGCCTTCAACTCCCAGAAATCCTAACACCTGGTAAACTGTCTGGGATTTCTGGGAGTTGTAGGCCAGAAACATCTGGGGACTCCAGGTTGAGAACCACTGTTGTAACTCTATCAAAAAAAGAGAGGAGATGAGTCTGGCATGATTTGCTTTTGAGAAATCCAGGTTGACTTTTAGTGATGACAGCATTCCTTTCTAAGTGCTTGCAGACTGCCTCCTTTAGGATCTGCTCCAGAATCTTCTAGTCCATGTAGACCAGCCATGGACCAACTTTGTAACGGATTTTTCATTACTGTTTTCAATAATTAACTGAGCAAGTGGGGAAACTTCAGGGGCTCATTTCTCCCTCGTTTTAGAGCCATCATGATGAAACTTGTGCTAGTTATACCACACAATTTCCACTGTTGGCTCATCAAATTTCAGAACGTTACATTCATCCACTAACTTTGGGGGGAAAATTGAATATATATATATATATATATACACACACACACACACACACACACACACATACATACATATACATACATATATACTAGCTTTCCCTGCCATGCGTTGCTGTGTCCCACCTTACCTCCCTCTTTCTCCCCTTTCCCTCATTCCCTTTTCTTCTTTCCTTCTCTCCTTCTTTCCTTCTCTTCCTCTTTCCTTCTTCCTTTTTTCTTTTCCTTCCCTTTCTCTTTCCTCCTTCTCTGCCTCTTTCCTTCCTTCCTTCCTTCCTTTGGTGTTTGCTTCCACTCTTCCTTTTGTCTGTCCTTCCTTACCCCCCTTTCTCTTTCTTTCTCTTCTTCCTTCGCTCCTCTTTCCTTCCTTTTCTTTCCTTATCTCCTTCCTTCTTTCTCTACCCATTTCTTTCCATCCCTCTTCTTTTCCTCTTTCTCTCTTTTCTTCCTTCTCTACCTCTTTCCTTCCTTCCTTCCTTCGCTCTTTGCTTCCATGTTTCCTTCTCTGTTTKCTTCCTRCCTRCGATGTTTTTCCTCTTCCTTGATTGGGCCCGCCGCCTAGGAGGCTGCAACCACCGCGTCGCTCGGCGAGGCCTCGGTTGTTATGGCGGTTCCGCCGGAAGTGCTGGGAGCAAGACTGACAGGCGAGGGAGCAGAAGTGCGGGAAGGGGTGGGGGTGGGGGCGAAGGAAGGGGGCGTGACTTCCCGGAGGGGGCGTGGGAGGAGGGAAGGATTGAGTCAGGGCGGGAAAGGGAGGGGGCGTGGCTTCCGTGGAGGGGGCGTGGTCGGCAGCGGAGGAGGAGGTGGAGGAGGGAAAGAATTGAGTCAGGGTGGCTAGGGGCGGGGTGGTGAAGGGAGGGGCATGGTTTGCGGCGAGGGAGCGTTGTCCGGCAATATGCGCACGGCAGAGGACTCGCGCCTGGTTGCCTCTGCGCATGCTCCCTTTGTTTTCGAAATTGTGGGTTTGTTGAAATGTTGTTTACTATTTTGATGAGAATTGTGCATACCTTGTGGGTTGAGGTATGTGCGCGCCACGTTTGGGGAGTTTTGGTCCAGGGGTTTTCGCGTTTTGCTGTCCCGTTGAACGCCCTTTCTCTTTTTATATATATAGATATTTAAAAAATTACAGAGCTATCTCCTTGCATTTTATGTACAATGCACAAGATAACCAGGACATCAATCCCCAGAAATTTCAGAAAGATTCACACATCTACGGAGTGTGAATTTATCCCTCCTTTGAAAAGCCACAAAAGCAATCCCCTTGAATGCCTGCCTCACAATATGTCTACATAACACACAATTAACCACAGAACTTCAACTTAGCACAGATTTAGACTATTACATCCTTACTTTAGTCCTCTTTGCAGATTCAATTATTGCATTTATTATTATTAGGTTGCTCTAAACAGCTGGCTTTCTGATGGGCTTTCTGATACTGAGCACTGCATTCTGGGAAATGTAGTTCAGGGCACAGCCTTTTGCATTCTCTGCCACAGGGGGCCTCACCTTCCTAAACTACTTTCCTCAAAATGCCCTGTTCTCAGCCTCCCGCTCAGCTGCCCTTCTTTATGGTGACAGGCAAAAAAAGCAACCTGGGTCTTTATTTAAACACTAGTACTGTTTAATTCTTATACTGAAAATTAAACTGACTTTGGGAGGCATCCAAATGTTACAGAATCTTAACAGAAATGATTGGTGTTTCGATTCTTAATTTCTTCTCCCCTCCTTCCATGCATGTTTCTTTATAGTGATTTGTTGGCACGAATCTAACGAATTACTAATGACTTACGAGGACTAACAATAGTTTTGCACAGCACTAATAACAATGATTATTATCATTGTCATTATTATATTTATTTTTACCCTGCTTTGACTCCCCAAAGGGGACTCAAAGCGGCTTGACATAAAAGCATTAGCATACAATTATTATTATTATTATTATTATTATTATTATTATTATTATTATTTTACTGACACAAAACCACAGTATATCACAGCAAATGAGATCTATATGCTGGATTTCGTATCACAAAATCACAAGTCGAACATTATTATTATTATTATTATTATTATTATTATTATTATTATATTTATACCCCACTTTATCTCCTCAAAGGGGACTCAAAGCAGCTTGACATAAAAACATTTGCATGGAATTTACAAATATACAGAAATTAAAACAGAATTAAACACAAAGAGCAGTAAAAAAAATCCAGTTGAAATCCACTAAACAGGGATACTTGCCTGTACTACTTCTTTCACCAAAGTCTTGTCGGTCCCTGTCTTGGCGCGCTGCAGGCCGCTGACGTTCTCGCCAATCCAAGTGATCAATGCAAACTTGACCCGTTTGCTCATGGCGTCGCCGGTGGTGAATCGGACGAAGCCAAACAGCCGCAGGTCATCTAGGGGAAAAGGTTGGAGAAGAGAAAGGAGATGAAGTCCATGGGATGAAGAGCTAGCCTTGCTGGGGATGGGGAATTTCACAAAGGGAAAGGCAACCGGTTGGCACAGGCATGGGCCAACTTTGGCCATCCAGGTGTTTTGGACTCCAACTCCCACCATTCCTAACAGCCTCAGGCCGCTTCCTTTCCCCTATCAGCTGCCTAAGTGGAAAAGGAAAGGGAAAAGGAAGGGACCTGAGGCTGTTAGGAATTGTGGGAGTTGAAGTCCAATCATCAGGAGGGAGGGCCAGTTTGCCCATGCCTGGGTTGGCATGATCACTTGGGTACTTCATGAAGGACCACTTGAAGTAGTCCAGGAATACCTGGCCACTCTAAATGAATCCAAGTTTCCAGAGCCAAATGAACTACATCCAAGAGTATTGAAGGAACTAGCAGAAGTCATTTCAGAACCACTGGAAAGAATCTTTGAGAATTCTTGGAGAAGTCCCAGCAGACTGGAGGAGGGCTGGGAAGAAGGGAACAAAAGAGGACCCAAACAATTTCACAGTGTACTTCCAAAATGGTGTCAAACTGCATTCATTCCACAGTGTACACCCAAAGTGATACCAAACTGTAATCATTCCACAGTGTACACCCACAGCGGTGTCAAACCGCATTCATTCCACAGTATACATCCAAAGTGGTGTTAAACCGAATGCATTCATTCCACAGTATACACCCAAAGTGGTGTCAACCCGCATTCATTCCACAGTATACACCCAAAGTGATACCAAACTGTAATCATTCCACAGTGTACACCACAGTGGTGTCAAACCGCATTCATTCCACAGTATACATCCAAAGTGGTGTGAACCTGCATTCATTCCACAAAGTGGTGTCAGACTGCATGCATTCATTCCACAGCGTACACCCAAAGTGGTGTCAAACTGCATTCATTCCACAATGTATATCCAAAGTGGTGCCAAACTGCATTCATTCCACATTATACGCCCAAAGTGGTGTCAAACTGCATTCATTCCACAGTGTATACCCAAAGTGGTGTTAAACTGCATTCATTCCACAGTGTATACCCAAGGTGGTATCACACTGCATTCATTCCATAGTGTACACCCAAAGTGGTGTCGCATTGCATTCATTCCACAGTGTATACCCAAGGTGGTATCACACTGCATTCATTCCACAGTGTACACACAAAGTGGTGTCGCACTGCATTCATTCCACAGTGTACACCTAAAGTGGTTTCACACTGCATTCATTCCACAGTGTACACCTAAAGTGGTGTCAAACTGCATTCATTCCACAGTGTAGTAGACACACCCAATACACACCCGACTTGACATGCTTCCCTTTCCAACTTGGACTACAACTCCCAACATCCCTGCCTAATAATCTCCATCATATCTGGAGATTCACACCTTCTATACAAGGCTGAGCCCATAAAGGACATATTAATCCACAAATTATCAGATTCCTGGGGAGGAATCAGATCACTGAACAATCACATCTGCAAAAGCTGAGCCTGCAAATGTGGAGTTTGACTCCAGCCTTGTCCTCACTGACTATGAAAGTTGCAATGCAGCAACATCTGCAACACAATCCCTGTATCTAGACAAGTTTCTGGGTTGCTGTTTCCCTTGTGACACCAAAACAGAGACCTTCCTCTATCTGAAACCAGGTTTCCCCAAAAGCCAACACCTGAAAGGCACACAGTTTTAATTGGCGGTGTCAAAGTCCACTTTCCACTTATCAGGAGACCATTTTGGCCAAGGCGTTTCCCAAGTGGGTTAAATCTACCCAAGAGCAGCCAGTGTATTTGAAGCCAAAATGGGCAAAGTTGATGGGACTCCAACACTCATCAGACAGTAAATGCCAATGGCGTGAAATACTAAAAGAGGCATCCCAACAATAACAGTATTGAGGAGGAGTTGAGGGTCTTTGAATCAACTATATGACTCATGGGGTGCATCAGAATGAGTGCAGTTTCACACCACTTTAATTGACTCAGGGCCATACAATTGTGGGAGTGGTAGTTTTGCAAGGTCTTCCCTGCCAACGAATGTAGGTGCTTCATCAAACTACAACCCCAAGGATTCCATAGCCAGTGAAAATGGTGCCAAACCACATTCAGATGCACCCTAGAGAGAGACAAGCTGAGGACCTTTTGCTTGTGAATAATAGGCTCTGTTTCTGAAATGCTAAAATGTTGTGTTTTGTGTTCCGTGAAACCGAAGAGTTCTTCTGAACCTACGCTCCTCTACCTTCAAGAGCAGCTTCATCTGTAGGTGTTTGCAGCCAATCAGAGCGGCCTCCATGCTGGGTGGAAAAGGAAACCTGCGGATTTCTGCAAAGCAAGCTGCTATTAAAAGCACAAGGGCAGTTCATGCTATTTTGTGGTTGCAAAAGGTTGATCAAGGGAAAGCTACTGGGCTCATGCTTCCCTTGCATTGCGTCATGGCAGTCAAAGCAGTGTCAGGCTGCATTCATTGCAGAAGTGTAGACGCACCCAAGAAAAGTGGGATTCAGAAGGAAGTTTTCTTCTTCTGAGACAGAATCAAACCCAGGACCAGATGGCTGGCGGGGAAGTAGGGAGGGGGGAGCCCATAAAACGGCATCTGCTTGACAGCTCTGGGAAGGGTTGGCTTTTGAGAAGGCAGAGCGAAAGGGAAGGAGGGGTGGGAGGGAGGAAATGGTGTGCAGGCAGGCAGGAAGGAACCGCCTGTCAGTGAGGAACTGGACCACATGCCTGCGCATAGGGAAGGCTTGCCTTGCCGCTTTCCTTCCGGAATCCTGTTCTTGAAGGCCAACATGGCAAACAAACTAGTCCCATGTGGGCTAGGCAAAACTACGGTGAGGTGGATCAGTAATTGGTTAAATGGACAAACCCAGAGGGTGCTCACCAATGCTTCCTCTTCATCCTGGAAAGAAGTGACAAGTGGAGTGCCGCAGGGTCCCGTCCTGGGCCCGGTCCTGTTCAACATCTTTATTAATGACTTAGATGAAGGGCTAGAAGGCAGGATCATCAAGTTTGCAGACGACACCAAATGGGGAGGGAGAGCCAATACTCCAGAGGACAGGAGCAGGATTCAAAACGATCTTGACAGATTAGAGAGATGGGCCAAAACTAAAAAAATGAAGTTCAACAGTGACAAATGCAAGATACTCCACTTTGGCAGGAAAAACGAAATGCAAAGATACAGAATGGGGGACAATGCCTGGCTCGAGAGCATTACGTGTGAAAAAGATCTTGGAGTCCTCGTGGACAACATAATGAGCCAACAATGTGATGTGGCGGCAAAAAAAGCCAATGGGATTTTGGCCTGCATCAATAGGAGCATAGTGTCTAGATCTAGGGAAGTAATGCTACCCCTCTATTCTGCTTTGGTTAGACCACACCTGGAATATTGTGTCCAATTCTGGGCACCACAATTCAAGAGAGTTATTGACAAGCTGGAATGTGTCCAGGAGGGCGACTAAAATGATCAAGGGTCTGGAGAACAAGCACTATGAGGAGTGGCTTAAGGAGCTGGGCATGTTTAGCCTGAAGAAGAGAAGGCTGAGAGAGATATGATAGCCATGTATAAATATGTGAGAGGAAGCCACAGGGAGGAGGGAGCAAGCTTGTTTTCTGCTTCCCTGGAGACTAGGACGCGGAACAATGGCTTCAAACTACAAGAAAGGAGATTCCATCTGAACATGAGGAAGAACTTCCTGACTGTGAGAGCTGTTCAGCAGTGGAACTCTCTGCCCCGGAGTGTGGTGGAGGCTCCTTCTTTGGAAGCTTTTAAACAGAGGCTGGATGACCATCTGTTGGGAGTGATTTGAATGCAATATTCTTGCTTCTTGGCAGGGGGTTGGACTGGATGGCCCATGAGGTCTCTTCCAACTCTTTGATTCTAGGATTCTATGAGAGAGAAAGGCTCCAAGCAGCAAGGAAGTGGGGGAGATTAATTGGAGGAAGGGGGGAAGAGGAGGGGGTGAAGAAGAGGTAGAGGAGGAGGGGGAGAAATGAAGAAGGGGAGAAGGAAGAAAAGGAGGAGAAGGAAAAAGGGAGGGTGTAGAGGAGAGATGAGAAAGAAAAGAAGGGGAAGAGCAGGAGATGACGAGGTAGAGGAGGAGGAAGTGGTGGTAGAAGAGGAGAGTGAGAAATGAAAAAGGTGGAGGGTGTGCAGGAGAGATGATGAAGAAGAAGAGGAGAAGGAAAAGGAAAAAGAAGACAATGCAGAGGGGGAGGAGGAAGGAAGAGAAGGAAGAAAAAAGAAGAGGAGGAGAAGAGGAGAAGGAAGTAGATGAGGAGGAGAGGTGAGGAAGAGAAGGGGAAAAGGAGGGAATGACGAGGAGGAAGAGGAGAAGGAGGAAGAAGACAATGCATAAACATTAGATGTATGTTGTATGTTGTGTCTGCACTGTCTGTTTTTGCAGGGGCGGCTCAACCCATTACGCAAAGTAAGCATTTGCAGTATAGTTGATTTTGCCCAGGGGCGCTCTTGGGGGAAAATAGACCTTGACATATGCGAGTTGTAGTTACTGACATGTATAGTTCACCTACAATCAAAGAGCATTCTGAACTCCACCAATGATGGAATTGAACCAAATATGGCACACAGAACTCCCACGACGAACAGAAAATATATATCAGTGATTGGTTGGGGGGGGGGGGCCAAAATACTGTTTGTTTACCGTTGAAAATTACCTAGGGCCGCTGCAACTGGCTAATCAATAAAAATTAGAGGAGAAAGGAGGAGGAAATGAAGAGGATGAGGAGAAGGAGAGTATGTGGAGGAGAGGTGAGGGAGAGGAGAAGGGGAAGAGGAGAGGATGAAGAAGAGGTAGAAGAGGAAGAAGAGGATGAAGAAGAGGAGGAGGAAACAGTGGTATAAGAGAAGAATGAGAAAAGAAAAAGGTGGAGGATGTGGAGGAGAAGGAGAAGGAAGAAGAAGCCAATGTAGAAAACATTGAGGGGAGGAGGAGGGGAAGGATGCAGAGATAAAGAAGAGGAGAAG